TGCACCTCTTATAGCTCTTTACTCTTGGATACATGCTATTAATTATAGATATATAATAGCTGATCATTGCGAGTCAATCGATTCAATCATCGTTGATTAATGAGCTAGCAGGAGAAACTTTTGCTATAGTCAAGTCTTCCATTGGTATCCTTAAACGCAGAGGTAGTAGCGTCATTTATACTCAGTTAATATTACCTCCTCCAGCTTAAATTAAAACAATCTATACGAGTATATATACATTGGACGTGTTGCCTTATTCTTGATACCAATTGGGCGATTCTTATCAATATAAGCTTGGATATCAATTATGTCTTACACTACTTATCGAGTTTTAAAACACTCTCAAGTAACTACAACAGCATGCTATCGCAGTGCTTCAAGTTTAAGAATGAGATATTCCACAACTTCTACTAATCCAGTAGAAGATCACTCACAGATGTCTAACGTAAAAACGATGGATCAAATCCCAGGACCTAAGGGCTTACCATTCATTGGCACCCTGTTGGATTATGCTAAAAATGATGGATGGGGATTTAAAAATTTTTTTGCAATGGCAGAAAAAAGACGACAAGAATATGGACCAATCTATAAGGAGACTATCGGCAATAATCGAATGGTAGTAGTGTCAACATCGGAAGATGCAGAAAAAGTATTACGTGCAGAAGGGAAATATCCCAATAAAAAAAATCTAATTGTACCAATAGCAGAGTATCGAAAGAAGCGTAATTTATCCATGGGAGTCCTACTTTCGTAAGTAAGATTCGATTAGATATTTCTAACATCGTGTTACATCATCGCACTTCTTCGGGACTTACCAGCTATTTATTCTAAATAATATTACAGTACTGCTAGAAAACTGCCCATTGCGATTCTACAGTACTGTATACTAAAGACTGAATATTATAATAATGTGATTGATCCATTCTGCTTTATAACAGTGACTACATACAATGTGTAGATTAATAATAATAACAGAATAGCAGGAAGATAACTTTACTAACGCCGTTGTATGATGATACATATTGGATTCAATATCGTTACTTAAAATTAGTTAGCTAGCTATCCAGTTAATATTTGACTCGCACCAAATCGGTCGAGACCATTTACCACGATATTACTATCACAACAACTTCATCTAGTTATTACCATACTACCGATTAAAGATAACTTCAATGCTGTCCCATTTTGAAACATATTGGACTCCATATCGTTACTTAAAATTAGTTCTCTCACTATCCACTTAATACTTACACCAAATCAGTCGCGATCTTATACCACAGTATTACTATCGTAATAACTCAACCCAGTTATTATCATACTATAAATTAATTATCTAACCCAATGTTTGCATCTTCATTATCAATAAACTGATAGTAGCATCGCTCTCATACCTACTGCTTGCAAATGTTTATTTTAGAAAAGATGAAGAATGGAAAAAATTTCGTAGTGTGATGGACAAGAAAATGATGAGACCACATGAAGTAACATGCTATTCTGATAGAATCAATGATGTCTGCAATGATCTCATCCAACGTCTTAAACGATGTCGTGGTAACGACGGTATTATACCCGATATCGAGAATGAAATCAATAAATATACAGCAGAGTGTAAGTAAAATAAATCAATTTACTCCAGAAAATATTCTTACGTAATTTATATATCTTATTCATTTTACGGCTACATCACTAGCATGCAAAGATTTATAGATGCAAGATGTATGACATTTATAGGTTTATCCCCGCTAATCTACAATATTGAAGGAATACTATTTATATCTAGCTATTGCAACTGTTCTATTCGAAAAACGTTTGGGAATGTTCAAAGAGCCAATCGAACCTAAAGCTGAACAGTTCTATCAATCTCTTACCAAAATTTTAGAAGCTATTAATGAAATATTTATTGTACCTCCCTTCATTTTCAAGTATATTTTTACTAAGCACTGGAAAGAACTTATTAAATGGAACGATATCGCTTCCGAATTCGCTGATGAGATTATTGAAGAGAAAAGAAAACAAATTGAAGAGAAGATTGCGAGCAAGGATGATATAACCCGATCGGACGATCGAGTCGATTTTCTTAGTTATGTTATTGCTACAGGTAAATTAACTCGAAGTGAAGCCAATGTAGCCATGACGGAATTACTTTTCGGTGGAGTAGACACGGTATAATAAATAAAATAAAATAAGGATACAATACTAGTGCCCATCCCAATAAGAAGCGACTGTCAATAACTTGATAAAGGGCTTATCGATTTTAGAAATAGAGCAAAAACGAAATTAATACTAGCTACTTAAGCATTAATTCAATTTAGAAAATCACTTTGATAGTATTTATATTAATCCATGATATAATAACCCCATAACTGTTATTATAGACTTAATAACAGGATTTATATGCTGTAGTAATTCGTTTATTGTATATGTCCGGCTTAGAATCAATTACTAGTAGAGAGATAGGAGTTACCAGTACACATGCACTGTATTGATTCATTCTATACTGACATTGTACAGTAATACTCGCATTTCTTAACCAAAATAGCTAATATGTAGTCTTCATATGTTATATAGCAAGCGTAATCTAAATACGATGATTAATTATATCGTACAACATATATGCTTATTTATTACTTAGACAGCAACAACTATTCTATGGACTTTATATAATCTGGGTAGAAATCCACACGTACAAGATAAATTACGAAGCGAGGTTCGTAGTGTTATGAAAGATTGTAAAGAACCGGATACAGGTATCATAGAAAAGATGCCATATTTACGTTCGTGCGTGAAAGAAACATTGAGGTTAGAGCTCCATCAATAGAGTAAAACTATCATTTTATGCCTTGTTGTAAGATAAGTTGCGACTCAATGACAGTAATAGAACATATACTTTAATTAAATCAGTCTTATACATTTATAAAAATATCAAAATCACATTTCTTCTTTTTTTATGGTAGACTTCAGCCAATCGCCCTGCTT